CAATGACGAGTACTACAAGCAATGGTGCCTCCTGCACGTGCCCTTTCGCGAGCTGAAGGACCTTTGGCACGCGAAGCTGGAACTCTTGCCCCCTCATGGCCGCCCACTCAGGGTCCGACAGAAAGCACAGTTCGCTGCAGCTTTTCTCATGTGTGTGTCACCACGTGTCCTTGTGTGTGTGTGTGGGTGCACAGGCAATTTTCGAGGCTCTCACGTTTGCCTCCCGAACACCGAGGTCTGGGAATGGCGCTGGCGCTGGCCGGCGAACACTGGCGAAACCAGCAGGCCGTTCGCGCGGACATGCCAGGGCCAGGGCCAGGGCCAGGCCCTGGCCCTGGCCAGGGCCAGGGCCAGGGCCAGGGCCAGGGCCAGGGCCAGGGCCAGGGCAGGGGGCCCTGGCCAGGGCCAGGGCAGGCCAGGGCCAGGGCCAGGGCCAGGGTCAGGGCAGGGTTTCACATCGGCCACTTTTTGCCAAATCCTGGGGTAAGTAAGCCCCGCGGGGGCCTAATTCCTACTCGCTAAATCCTCGTACGAGGGTTTAGCGACGAGGGTTTAGGGCCTAAATCCTCGTACGAGGGTTTAGCGACGAGGGTTTAAGGCCTAAATCCTCGTACGAGGGTTTAGCGACGAGGGTTTAGGGTCTAAATCCTCGTACGAGGGTTTAGCGACGAGGGTTTAGGCCCTAAATCCTAAACGACGAGGGTTTAGCGACGAGGGTTTTGCGACGAGGGTTTAGAGCCCAAAATCTGGAAAATGAGGGGGTCATTTCTGCTATTTAAATTTGATTCAAAATTTCACTGGAATCGGCAACTTTTTGCCAAATCCTGGGGTAAGCCCCACGGGGGCCTAATTCCTCTTTGCTAGCGACGAGGGTTTAGGGCCTAAATCCTCGTACGAGGGTTTAGCGACGAGGGTTTAGGGCCTAAATCCTCGTACGAGGGTTTAGCGACGAGGGTTTAGGGCCTAAATCCTCGTACGAGGGTTTAGCGACAAGGGTTTAGGGCCTAAATCCTCGTACGAGGGTTTAGCGACGAGGGTTTAGGGCCTAAATCCTAAACGACGAGGGTTTAGCGACGAGGGTTTTGCGACGAGGGCTTAGAGCCCAAAATCTGGAAAATGAGGGGGTCATTTCTGCTATTTAAATTTGATTCAAAATTTTCACTGGAATCGGCCACTTTTTGCCAAATCCTGGGGTAAGCCCCACGAGAGCCTAATTCCTCTTTGCTAGCGACGAGGGTTTAGGGCCTAAATCCTCGTACGAGGGTTTAGCGACGAGGGTTTAGGGCCTAAATCCTCGTACGAGGGTTTAGCGACGAGGGTTTAGGGCCTAAATCCTCGCACGAGGGTTTAGCGACGAGGGTTTTAGGGCCTAAATCCTCGTACGAGGGTTTAGCGACGAGGGTTTAGGGCCTAAATCTTCGTACGAGGGTTTAGCAACGAGGGTTTAGGGCCTAAATCTTCGTACGAGGGTTTAGCGACGAGGGTTTAGGGCCTAAATCCTCGTACGATGATTTTGCGACGAGGGTTTAGGGCCTAAATCAGGGTTTAGCGACGAGGGTTTAGGGCTTAAATCCTCCTACGAGGGTTTAGTGACGAGGGTTTAGGGCCTAAATCCTCGTACGAGGGTTTAGCGAGGATGTTTTTTCCCTGGGCCTAAAACCTCCAGCTTTGACCCAAATTGTCCAAAAACAAATTCGGATGTTTGTGCTGATGCAGCAGGAGGATGGTTTTTCCCCCGGACCAAAAACCTCTAGCTTTGACCCAAAATGGTCCAAAAAAGGCCCTCGGATGTTTGTGCTGACGCAGCAGGAGGATGGGTTTTCCCCCTGACCTAAAACCTCTAGCTTTGACCCAAAATGGTCCAAAAAGACCCTCGGATATTTATGCTGATGCAACAGGAGGATGGGTTTTCCCCCGGACCTAAAACCTCTAGCTTTGACCTAAATGGTCCAAAAAGATCCTCGGATTTGTGTTCTGATATGTGTAGCAGGAGGATGGTTTTTCCCCCTGGACCTAAAACCTGTAGCTTTGACCCAAAAATTGTGTGCTGATGTGTGGGTAGCAGGAGGATGTTTTTTCCCCCGGACCTAAAACCTCCAACTTTGACCCAAAATGGTCCAAAAAATGTCCTCGGATTTGTGTGCTGATGTGTGTAGCTGGAGGATGTTTTTAACCCCCGGACCTAAAACCTCCAACTTTGACCCAAAATGGTCAAAAAACAATCCGGGTTTCCCCGAGACCTAAAACCTCCAGCATTGACAGAAAAAAGAAAAAAGCTGCGAGAAAAATAGAAAACAAGAGAGTTGCCTTACAACTCAGTTTAGGAAATTAAACCCTAGAAGGCGGAGCTGGTTAAGGGTGGGAGCCGCACTCTACGGCGCGGGAGGGAAATGGAGGTGGCGCGGCCGACACAAGGCCCCATTCCCGAAAGCTCTCGAGCGTTCGCCGAGGCCGACCCACCTCGCGTCGAAATTGTGTGCCCAAATGGCGAGTAGTTCCCCTTTTTTTTCGCAAACCCTAAACCCTAAACCCTAAACCCTCAACCCCAAACCCCAAACCCAAACCCTAAACCCTAAACCCTAAACCCAAAACCCTAAACCTCTCTATCATAATGAATTTAAACCCTATTTCAAAAGTGGGCAACGGTGAGTTTCGTGGCCTCAAAAGTGGGCAACGGTGACTTTCCTGGCCTCAAAAGTGGGCAACGGTGACTTTCCTGGCCTCAAAAGTGGGCAACGGTGACTTTCCTGGCCTCAAAAGTGGGCAACGGTGACTTTCCTGGCCTCAAAAGTGGGCAATGGTGACTTTCCTGGCCCCGAAAGTGGGCAACGGTGACTTTCCGGGCCCCAAAAGTGGGCAACGGTGACTTTCCGGGCCTCAAAAGTGTGCAACGGTGACTTTCCTGGCCTCAAAAGTGGGCAACGGTGACTTTCCTGCCTCAAAAGTGGGCAACGGTGAATTTCGGCTTCAAAAGTGGGCAATGGTGAATTTCCTTTTTCCCCGAGTTTTTTCAAGGTTTTTCAGCGTTTTTCCGTGTTTTTCAAGGTTCTTCAATGTTTTTCAGGATGTTTCAGGGTTTTTTAACCCTCAATTCTGACGAAGGGCCGCCCCCGCGACCTTTTCACAGCCTAGTTTTGGTCAAGGGGGTCGTATTTTTCAATTTTTCAATTTTAAAGGCAAAATAGTCTTCGGAGACCCCCCCTTGCCTCAAACTCCGACCCACCCTTGAGAGGGAAAGTTTGCCTCCAAAAACACCCCAAATGAAGGGGACCCCAGGATCGGCCCGGGCCCCAGTTAAAAAATGCGATTTTTTTAGTACTGCAATCGACGGTTCTGGGTGGTCTCTCGTTTTCTGGATTTTTGACCAAACCGAGCCTTCACCGATAGGGGCTTCTAAACCGTAGGGTTTAAGGCCCTAAGAGCATAAAGGGCTTATTGTGGGCCTTAGATTAGATTTCGGGTTCTGGGTCCGTTAAAAACTAACTACTGGGAATGTATTGAGTGAACTTTGTATTTTCTCAATGTTATGGGTTTCTTGGGTGGGTGGGTTTTCTTCCAACGCTTGACAAGCTGCTTGACTAGTGAATGCTCGGACTTGAGATGCTGAACCCTAAACCCTAAACCCTAAACCCTAAACCCTTTAGGTTTTAAGGTGTAGGGTTAGGGTGCAGGGTTTGATTTAGGGTTTAGGGTTTAAGGTTTGGGTTTGGGTTTAGGGGTTAAGGTAAGGGTTAGGGTTTAGGGTTCGAGCGGTTCGGGGTGTTTTACACCCGAGCGAGCGAATACGACCAACACACCCTAAGCCCCAAACCCTAAACCCTAAACCCTAAAGGGTTTTGATAGGGGGTTGGGGGTAGAAACCCTAAACCCTAAAAGAGTTGAGTCTGGGTGGGTCTAGGGCGGGTGGGTGGGTCTAGGGTGGGCGTCACTGAGCTACGCTAGAGCGAGCGGCTCGGGGTGTTTCATACCCGAGCGAGCGAATACGTAAACCCTAAACCCCTGAACCCTAAACACCCTAAACCCTAAACACCCTAAACCCTCAATCGAATTTCCCAAGCTATTTGTCGAAACAGCTGACAAGCTGAGTTTAAGTATATTAATCCAGAACACATCTTTCTGGAGGCCAAATGCTCAATTCATATTAATCCAAAACACATCTCTCTGGACTCTGGATGCCGAATGCTCAATTTACTTGACCTGCTTCCTTTCCCTCCCCCCCCCTCCCCCGCACCTCCCACCAAAAAAAAAAACTCGATATTGAGACCCAAACCCTACACAATTTCTATAAACCCGAAACCCGAAACCCGAAACCCTAAACCCGAAACCCTAAACCCGAAACCCTAAACCCTAAACCCTAAACCCTAAACCCTAAATCCTAAACCCTAAACACAAAACCCTAAACCCTAAACCCTAAACCCTAAACCCTAAACCCTAAACCCTAGCCGCAGCTTCAACGGCAGCTCTATGACTGAAAGGATCTGCAGAGGCAGTTTCTCACTGAGCGCAAGAATGCCCTTGCCGGAATATTGCGCATGTCCTGTGAAGCAACTTTTACCATGGAACTTGCGACGCCAGCCCCCCCCCCTTTTTGGGGGGGACTGTCGGGCCTGGCTTCGGCAGAGTGTGGTGATTGTCGCAAACTTTACGGCGCCTCCCGTCATCTCGACACAGGTGGCAAAGAGGAGTGCAAAGCAGCTTGGCGTCACGGGGACTCCTTGACGAGGACTCCACGGTAAGCTGAAACTAAGGGAGTTCCCAAATTTGCAGAATCTCATTCCGCTCAGATTTACGGCTTGCACGGGCTTGCGTGGTGCTTGGGCTTATACTGCTAAGATAGGCTTAGGCTTAGTGCGATAAGGCCAAGGTTTATGAAAGCGCACACTTACTACCTAGGGTTTAAAAGTAGGCTTGGTGGGGGACGTGTTCCGTACAGGTTTCACAATAGCGGGATTTGAGCTTAAGGCTGGCATGGCTCACTCACTGTAATTTGCACTGGGTACTCCCACATAATATGTACAAGGCCTGAAGGCCGACATCCACAAAGGCATCGGCTGTCCTGGCGAGCCCGATTCTGGCCCTAACACGAAATGACCACCAAACAAACAAACGCAGCCCAACATTAACAATGAAACCATCCTCTTGAACGGATCCTCAAAGGGGTTCTTGAGGTTTAGCTTGGGTGGCTTCCGAAGTCCTGTGAGTGGATGCCAACACACACAGGCAGGCCCAGCGAGTTGAGATCGTCATAGGTACAGACATTTTACATGGATATATGGCTAGAGCGGAGGCTAGAGATTTTTGATCCAGATTCGGATGTAGATAGAGATGCAGATTCTCAAGAAGATCGTAAACTGACGCATGTGCGCAGATGCTGGAACCAAAAACGGAGGTTGAAATGGCTGAAGATAACAAAACATTTCGTACCATGAAAACAAATGCATAAACCGTGAAGAAACGAGCACTTGGCAGAGGAGCAACGGCTACGAATTATGGCTGCGGGTTCAACTTCGTTTGATTTCGGCTTCACACGCAAACACAACATACGAAGCACACCCTCATCCACGAGGCCGCGCGTTAATGCTTAACCCTCACCCGCATGCTTGGAAAGGAACCCCCTGAACCGTTGACCGTCCGTAGGGAATGCCACCGCAGCCGCAGCCACAGCCGCAGCCACCGCAGCCGCCACAGCCGCCCCAGCACCTGAGACTGTCTCGAGCAAACGCTTTTTAGGTTTAGGGATTATACTATACACTCCAAAACCGCAGCTACAAGAAGCATGAACCCTATCAGCCAGCCCAGCCTCTAAAGCCACAAAAGCTGCGAGACCCCCAGGGCCACGCCGGAAGCCCTCAAAGCCAAAAACCATGATCCTGAAACCCTTAGCCCCTCAAGACCCTGAGCACTCGCTGAACCTTCCAGCCCTCGCCATTCCCTCCAAGTCATAGTCACGGCTTGCAAGAGCTGTCTGGGGCTGGCGCACCTTCAGTCCTGAATCCTTTCGGCGCTTTGAGCTTGAGGGTTCTTGGTTTAGGCAATTCTCCTAAACAGCATCCGGACTATATTCTCGTTCAATACAAACATTTTGGATAGAGCCCAACCCCAGGAAGTCTCCGAAAATCCACAGCCGAAGCTCTCTGTGGGCTGCTGCATCTGTTGGTTGGCGTACCTGCTTCAGGGCTTCATTGATTTCATGCAGGATTTAGGATGGGGTCTTTGTCTGGTTTTCTTGTATCTGATGCAATGAGTGAACTTCCTTTCCTTGGCTTGGGCACATGAGAAGCGGATAAAATATTGTCTTACCAGCAGGGTGTCCGATGGGTTTGGGCGAACTTTCAAGAAACAGTCGCCGAAGCTGCGAGATGAAATCATGACCTCCTGGAAAACCCGCTGCTCAACACCCTACCACTCAACATAGGGAACCCAAGACATCATGCCGGTACAAACTAAATACACTCAAAACGCTAATCCCCGCATGAAGTCAGGGTTTGTCAAGAAGTTTCGGGTTTAGGTTCTGTGTAAACTTTGTGTTCAGAGTTCAGGGTGTCGCAGGGGATGGGGTTCAAGAGCCAATTTGCAGATGAAGCTTCAATGCCTTTAAAACCCAGCTTAGGAGATTGGAGGGTGGGGTTCTAGGTTCGCTGTGAAGCTTCAAAGGTTCGGCTTGAGGTCAGATTTAGAGTTTGCGGATGTTTGGGGTTCGTGGCTATGCAGTGTCGCTAGGTCCCCTTTGGGTTATGTAGGGATTAACTTGGGTACTGGACTCAGGTGTGCAGATGCTTTTACGTGTGTCCACGCTCATCCAGCTCACTGCTCTTTTCCGCCTTCCGTACGCCAAGTTTAAGGCTGAGGTCGAGCACAATATCTTCGGACCAGGGTCGGCTCAAAAAGAGTTTAGGGCTATAGGGTTTTGATAATCTACGAAAGCCATAAGCGCTGGGTTCAGGGATGCAGATCAGCGGCATGACTTGCTGCATGGCAAACTGCTGCATGTAGGCCTGGATCTTACTGGGCTCAAGGTTAGCGCGTAGGCTCTAGAGTGAAGGGCTTTGCAGGGGTGTCCTTGGACATGGTGTGGATGGTCCACCCTCTCATTCCAAACTAAGCATCAAGGCAAGGAGTATGGTGGCTGAGCTGACGGTTTCGGGTTGGAGTATGAGACTGCAACGGTGTAAGGCTCATAGTAGGATCCATTGTGTGATCTGAACTTAGCAGGCTTAAAGGATTTAAGGCACAGGGAGTAGAGATTGATTTTGAGGGGCTCAGTCTTTCAGGCTAAGGGTTTAAAGCTTGCTGGTTTAGGGCATGATGTTCGGAATTGAGGCTGTCAAAATCTCGAGCACTGCGCGTGCTCTCATTTGACTCGCGCTGGTGCTGAGTGGTCCCATCCAAGTTAACTGTTCTCCCTACTGTCCTAAGCCCTAGATCCCAAAGCAGCAGCCCCAAGGCTACAACCACCCGAAGGCGGGCAAACACCCACCGATCCGACACCCAAAAAAGGATTGAATTCGAAACCCCGAACATGACATCCTAAGCCTGAAGCTTCAACCCTTAACGTTTGGACCTGTTGGGCGGCCATCGTGTAAGCAGTGTAGCTCTCCCGTCTCAAAAAATTATTTTGTGAGTTTAGGACTAGTGTAGGCAAGGCTTTAGGGTTTGCAGGGGGGAACCTTTCAGCTTTTATACTTCTGGTCTCTACAGATTGGTGCTTAGGCTTTTAAGGGTTTGCGAGCTTCACTCACTCACTGGCTCGCTTGCTCACTCACTCCTTCACTCACTGAGTTAGCGTCTCTGAGAGGTGGACCAGTAGGCCAGAACTACCAAATCATCAACCCATCCGCCCATTACAGAATGTGCAAGTACCCCTACAACCTACCTCGCCTCCACTCAACCATCTCAACCCCACACCCAAACCCCTCAAACAGTCGAAACCCTCTCGCCTGCATCTGCTGCTCGTAGGCCTGTGCGTTGAGGCGTTCACGGTTTAGGATCTGCGGGTGTAGGATGTAAAACGTACGGATATCTGAAATCTGAACAACACGAATACCCAAACGACTGCCTGCCAGGCCAACCTCTCCTCCTCTTCGAGCCGCAGTCTCTCCAAGCTCTGACCTGTGGCAGGAGGGTTCAGAGGGTTCAGAGTTGAGGGTCTGGGATGTTGAGACGGTGGGTTCAAGGACTGGGATTGATGCAGTGAAGGTATCGGGGCCATGGTTTATTTACTTCCTCCTTCGAGGCACTCTTTGGGCCACAACGCCTGGACCCTGTCTTGTGGCCCCAACAGGAGCTGTTGCAAGATGCGCCTCCTGCGAAGGAACTGTGTGTTTGCTTTTGTGGTTTCTTGGCCCTCTGCGCGTGACTTGACTCCCTTAAGTCCATTGCGCGGATTTGCTGCCTCTACAAGTCACAAACTATTGACAGAGCCCCAAGCAATACCTCGAGTGGTTCGGTATTGAGCTTTCTCCTATTCTGATCCAGAGATCTTGCGTGAAATGAAGGGTCTATGTCTGGGTCATGGAAATTCTCGCATCGGAGGGCTTCTGATTGGAACCCTAAACGCAAGACCCTGAACCCTTATCTGCCACCAGAGATGCTACTGTACAAGCATGTACAAGCAACACCCTTCGCCAAACATTCACATCCAAGCTCACGGCTTGAGAGCCCCCAAGCGTAATCTGAAAGCTCCCAGACTCTCTGCAACCCAACCCCTGGATTAATTCCAGGGTCCACACGGACGACCATGTGAATTGCCTCTCCATTTCAACAATTGTTTGGGCTACTGTGCTGGTTTTTGGTTTACGGTGTGAGGTGTAGGCCGTGGGGTTCAAGGAACTGGGTGGAGGCTAGGCTTGAAGATGCAAGGGTCGGGGTTGTGTGTTTCAGGTAAAACTTTTTTCAAGGGTTCAGGTCTTGGAGTTTGGGTTGGGGGCTTAGGTCCGGGCTCAAGGTTGAACTGCATGGATTGGAGTTCGCGCCGTTGTGGGTCAAAAACAGCTTGCAGCTTTTGGAGTGTTTGAGGTTGCAGCGGGCTTGTCGCTTTTGGCGAGCGGTTCAGTTTTGTAAATCGCCAAAGTTTCAAGTTTCGGCTTTAGGCTCAGGGTCTCTGGTTTAGGCTCTCGTCCTGGGGTTCGGTTGGGTGGTGCAAGCAACAGCCTCCTGATCCCTCTGCCGCTGCTTCTGCTTTTCTGCCGCTTGGCCTCAGCATCAAGCGAGAAGGCTTTAAGCGCACAATTTAGGGTCCAGGACATCGGGCCTTGGATATGCAAGGTCATGGCTGGGGGGGGGGTTGGGGGAATGTGAATGGGGGGGGGGGGGGGGGGGGTGGGTTGGGGGGGGGGGGGGGGGTGGTGGGGGGGGGGGGGGGGGGGGGGGGGGGGGGGGGGGGGGTCGTCATGGTTTGGAAGGTGTTTGAAGGTTTTGCAGGTTTGGGAGCGCAAGACCGCAAGAGACCAAACACTCGCCTTTCACTCCCATGGCTTTGCCAGAATGCGCCTGAAAGCTTACACTTGGACATGGAGTTGCCCGCTTTAAGAAGGCACTAGAAGCTTTGGATTTGCATGCTCACTGAGAGTAACAGTCGGATCTCAGGGAGTCCGCTCCCTTCGCATCGATATTTCTGATCTGAACATTGGGTTGTAGGACTGTCGGGGCTTAAATTGAGCCGGTGTGCATTCGGACCTAGCAGTTGAACGGACAGCGAACCTTTGATGCCGAAACCTTATTGTCAGTCCCAAAGCAGCAGGCTCTTAATTGTTGGCGCAACAGGTCATGTCTTTCGAACTACCAGCCGCAAGCTCCCTCGAAGCACAAAATGAATGAAAGGCCGGGGAGCCGTCGATGGCCGTTATCGTTGAGCCGGCTTCCAGGTGAGGCTGGCCAGGCTTATCTTCGACCTTTTTTCGGTCTGGTGGCTGGGCTAGTTGAGCTCTGCAATCCGTGAATCAGCGACTCGGCAGGCATCCAGCATTAAACTGTGCAAGCCATCACTGTGCGAGCCATCGTAAACGAACCCCGACTTATATAAGCCCCTAAACTTACCCTGCGAACCCGACCATTGACTGCTAAGGCTAAAGCTTTTTAAACCATCCTGAAAACGGAAAAAAAACCGCAACAGTGCCGCAACGCTCAAACCTCGAGCCTGCTCCTGAAAACCAATTTTTCAAGACGACTTGAAGATCTCAAAAGATGTGACTGGAACGATAGGCCTTGTCCAAGCGCATGCCCCAGCCTCAGCTCTCGGAGCCAATCGCAAGCTCCAAAACCCCAGGCTTCTGCTACCCAAAGCTGAGAACCTGAAAACTAGATTCCGAAACCCTGGAAGCAGAAACTTCAACTGCAAAGCCAGGACCTCAACCCTCGGCCACATACAAATGAAAGAAGAAGAAGAAGGAGAAGAAGAATGGAGAAGAGGAAGGAGTCAGACGCAATGAAAAGGGGAGGAGGACAAAGCTCAGTCGAGTCACAGGTCGGCATGAGCTCAATGCCAGCAACAACCTCTGAGCCGACCATGTAGGGCTTCTCCGGCTCTTTCCCTGGTGCATTTGGGATTCCGTTTTGGGTTCCCCAAAAAACTTTTGAAGCTCCTCGCCTAGGTTGAAAGGCTCGAGACGTTCGGTCTTCGGCTCTGGCGTTTATAGAGTTTGGGCTGAGGGCTTTGGATAAGCCTTCAAGGTGCAGGGCGCTTCCCTAACCACACCCCGACAGCCCCTAAAATCCTTAAGCCACAAGCCGTCTCGCCTGTTCCTTTGCCCTTCGTGCCCTTTTCGTCCTTGCCCTTGCCAGATTCCGGGATCTTTGCCTGCCATCTTCATGGATGTTCCAAGCCTACCCAACTGCAAGCTCTGCATTTAAGGAAGTCGTGGATCGGTTGTGGGGAAGCGCTTCGGGGTGGGCGCCCAAGGCCCCTATCTGCAATATTTTGCTCTCAGCAGTAGACTCCGTAACCCCCCCCCCCAAAAAAAAAAAACAAAAAGCATGAATCCAAAAGCCTGAACTTCAAAACTCCTTGACCCGGGCCCACACCCTGGAGTACCCCCGACAAAAATCACCACTTCGAACCTCCCCACCCTGTTCCTGCAATTGGGTTTACATTCTGGCACCGTCCCTGACTTGCCTATTCAGGCGACGTTTCGGCACAGTTGACCGCCTTATCATGTGAGCTTCTCGGCCCTGCTTATTATGTTATTAAAGCTCAATTGCCAAAAACATGTGCAGACCAGGCTGCAACTGTACCGTTGTTTTAACGCGCTGGCCAAGGAGGCTCAGGCTGGCAACTGTACCAGAATGTTGCCTTAACAAGGAGGGGATGTTGCTTGAATAGCCATTAGCTGTACTGACTGGTGTCCTGAGCACGTCGCGTCACATGACGCACGCCATTCTTGTAGCAGCGTTCCCACTTGTTGGATGGGGCAACAGGGTGCTGTGATTTAAGGAATGAACAGGTGCATGATTGGGGTACTTGAGTTGCAGGTGGGTGAGCGGGGTTAGGGCTGAGGGTTCAGGGCTTAGGGTTTCAGGATTTGGAGTCCACAAACATGCATAGGAGAGGCTCTCCCTCATGCAGTGTGGGTTAAGCTTCTTGAACCGGCTCAGACGCCAGCTGAGTTTAGGGTTTAGGATTTAGGTAACCCCGTGCCCGAAACGCGAAAACCACAACAAAAAATCTAATCAGTCTAAACTCTAACCCCACACCCTGAACCCTCGTTTCGAAGTTAAAAGAAAGCCTTACAGCCATAACCGAACAAAAACCCTGAATCCTACATCAACCCTAACATCCTAATGCTCTGCGCCCTCGAAGTTGCCATCGTACTTGGGGACCCGAGGCCGCAACGTGGGATCCCTCCTACGACAATCCCTCTTAAGCTGAACCTGTTATTCCAGTTTAAAGTTCGACTACTGGCTAAGGTAAACCCTTAGGGTTCGTTTAGTCCCCAACGGTAAGGGGGGGGTCGCGCCGTACCCTAAACACAAAACCAAGCCCCTTATGTGTTTGGGTACTCGTCTCTTGGCCCGTGGTTCCCGAGGGCTTAAGGTGACCCTAAACCCTAAACCCTAAACCCACACCCCAAATCCTAAGCCCTGAACCAGGTTGCGTGGAACTTCGAGTTTAGGGCTTAGGGTTGTTGGCGCTAGTGTATTTGCATATGGATTTTCTGCTAGGTTTCAGGGCCAATTCAGGGTTAAGGGCTGGGGGGGGGTTTAAATAGGGTTTAGGGTTTAGGGGCTAGGGTTGAGGGTGTAGGATTGAGGGCCCTAAACCCTAAACCCTAAAAGCTAAACCAGTAGGGCTTCTGCCTTGTGCAGGCTCTCGAGCAGTGTAGGACCCTGGAGTTGGCATTCAGTTTTTTGGGTTTGGGTTTAGGGGTTTAGGGCTTTGGGGTTTATAGGCGTTTGGGGGTTTCGGGGTTTGGGAGCTTGGACCCCGAATCGCGTAAGGCTGTACTTTTGCGGGGTTGTTTGAAAGCCTGGGGGATCCTGGTAGAGGGGTTTAGTATTTTAGGACGCTGATGAAAAGAATCAGGAGCGAGGATTTTTTGTTTGTCAATTTTTCTGGTTTTTTTTTTGTGATGTTTTGTTTTTCCTTGCTTCTTCTGGTCTTCTGAACATGCCCTCTGGTTCTGCCTGTCCTCCTCCTCTGGTTGGAATTCTTTTCTGTGTATTTTGCTGGTTTTTTTGGTGAATTTTGCTGGTTTTCAGCTTCCGCAGGCTCCTCAGCGGTACCGCATGTCCGGAACCTGACCACATCTAATAACCCTCGGGGTAGCAACCCCCCCCCCCCCCCCCCCAATTTGCAAACATGGAGTTTTGGGAGCGCTTCGTTGAACTAAAAGCACGCTCGCACACCGGGAATTCTCCCCACCCCATGTGCAGACACAATCTCGCAAGATGATTTTTGCAAGGGATTCGTATGGCCTAGAAGCACGCTTGGGCGGCTTATAAAAAGCGCGGGGGGTTGGGGGGCGCAGCCCCCCCATTTGCAAACACAATAGTTTTCAAATGGGATTTGTTTGATCTAACAGCTGAAAGCACGCTTGCACGGTTTTTAAAAAAGCGGGGTTTGGGGAGGGGGGGGGGGGGGGCGCAAGGCAAGGGATTCGTATAACCTCAAGCACGCTTGCACGGCTTTAACAAAAGCGGGGGGAGTGCGGAGGGCCCCCCCATTTGCAAGCACAATTGCTCACCCCCACATTTGCAAACGCAACACTCGCATGATGAGGCTTCATATGGTCTCGAAGCAAGCTTGCAAGGCTGAAAAGCGGGGGGGGGGGGGGGGGGGGGGTGGGGGGGGGGGGTTGGGGGGGGGGGGGGGGGGGGGGGGGGGGGGGGGGGGGGGGCAGCCCCCGCATTTGCAAACGCGATGCGAAACAATGATGGGTTTGGAAGGGCCGGAGTGGTATATGGTCTTAACATGTCTTAAAGCAAGCTTGCACAGCTGGACCGCATGACCGGACTCTCCTGACCAGGGGAACGCAGGACCACCGGACCAGGATCGCAGGATCAGAGAACCAGAGGACCAGAGGACCAGAGGACAAGCCAGACCTAAGAAAAGGGAAAAGACAGAGCCAGACCTAGGCAAAAACAACACCGGACCCCGGCTAGAGCCGTAATCCCTTACCTCAAACACTCAAACCCTAAACCCCAATTACAAACCTAAACCCTTCGGGTTTACTACTGCCCGGCCGCTGTGCCGAAGGGCGTTTGTTGTATCCTCACAGGTTCCACATATGGGTTCTGGGGGTCTAGGGATTATGGTTTAAGGCGTAGGGTTTTTAGGGTCAACCAAGAACGTGCGAAGCGAGCGGAACCCTAAACTCTTTCCATCCTTCCTTTATTCCTTGCTTTCTTTCTTTTGTTGTTGTATGTATTTCGTTCTTTTGTTCTGTCTTTCTTGCTTTCTTGCTCTCTTTATTTCTTTATCTCGTTCTTTCTTTTTCCTTTATTCTTCATTTATTTGATTCTTTCTTTCTTGCTGTATTTCTTTCTTTCGTCCTTTCTTTCGTCCTTTCTTCCTCTCTTCCTTTATTTATTTATTTCTTGCTTTCTTGCTGTCGCTGTTTCTCTCTTTCTTTCTTGTGTTTTTCTTTATTCCTTTCTTTCTTTCTTCCTCCATTCCATTCCTGCCTTTCCTTTTTGCTCTCTCTCTTTCTTTATTTGTTGTCTTTCTTTCTTTCTGTCTTTCTGGTCCTGCCTTTCTTTCTTTCTTGATTTTTTCTGTCTTTCTTTCTATTCCTGCCTTTCTTTCTGTATTTCTTTCTATCTTTCTTTCTATTCCTGCCTTTATTTCTTTCTTTCTTGCTGTCTTTCTTTCTATTCCTGCCTCTCTTTCTTTCTTTCTTTCCTATTTGTTCTTCCTCTTGCGTCCTTTCTTTCTGTCTTTCTTTGTTTCTTTCTTTCTTTCTTCCTGTCTTCCTGCCTTCCTTCCTTTCTTTCGTGCCTCAAATTTGACCAAAAAAACAGGAAAAAACACAGAAACAAACCAGAAAAATCACAAAAAAACACGGCACCCAAAAGAATTATGCGGTTTTTATTGCGGGGTATTGGGCCCTTTGGGAAGGTCGACAGGGCGCTTAGACCGCAAAGCCTGATCCGTTGACCTGAACCCCGCCGGTTTGGGGCTTATAGGGTTTCTAGTTTCGGGGTTTAAGGGTTTAGGGTTTAGGGTCGTGGCGTTTCAGGGATCAATTAGGCCACAGAACACTAAAGCACCACATCAAAACCCCTGGACAGTGCCTGAGCCCAAAACCCGAACCCAAACCCTAAACCAACATACGCCAAAACACCCTAAACCGCAAAATCCAAAAATCACGCTCAACCCTCAACCCTAAACTCTAAATCCATAAACACCAAGCCACCTAAACCCCCAAATCAACCTGCACCCTCAACCCCAACCACCAAAATCATTGGGGATTAACACGCATCAGGCCTCGGAAATACACAAAATCGAGCGTGGACGCTCATGAAATTTACACATCAAAAGAGAATATACACATCACAAGATTCCGAACCCCCAATGTAGACGCTGCTTGATGTTCTCAACCACTCAAAACTCATCAAAATGAAGATCCCTGTGCCTTTTCCATCGCTTTCAAGGCCTGTCCGCTGCAGCACATCTTATCAACACTTTCGGGCGTAGGGTCTAGGGTTTAGAAAGACCACTGCGGCAAACTTCATCAGCTGACGGAGTTACAATGTCTCGCGTTCTTCACGTGCCTCCCGTCTGTGCCAAATTCTGAAGCACAAACAAATCCAGCTCTGCAACAAAACCTTCGTTTCTCATGAACTTCTATCAATTTCGAACGCTCATCAAGATTAATTACATAGCACATGGGATTGTTGCTCCATTTTTGGTTACTCTCCGATAGCTAGACCCCTTAGGCTCCGCGTGACCTGGTCCACTTTCAGCAAGCTTGGACACCTTGGCATTGTGTAAGGTTTGAGGTGAAAGCTGTGAAACTTAGGGATGTCGTGTTTCCGATAAGCCTTCTTGCCTTGCTTCGTGGGGTATGATTTGCGATCTTCATCTAGGTAGTAAACAACTTTAGGATCCCGGTGCTTCGTGCATGGTTCCAGTTTCGGCCCGCTTACTATACTAACTATAGTTAAGGGACTTATAACCTAATTTAGGATCGTTAATTACAACCCAATTAGGGCTCTGATTACTCTACTTGTTTCTAGGGGGCCCCACCTTGTAGATCGGGATATCATCGGATGTATATATAGGTACGTATAGAGAGTTCCGGATCTAAGGACACAGGCATTGTGAGCATGCCATATGCTTACAGGCACTTTCTTGGTACTTTCTTTCCCGCTCAAGCTGAATCAGATCCAGGGTTCAGCCAGACTGTGTTTATTTAGTCGAAAGTCCACAGTTCCTTAGGGCCTTAGGGTTTAGACTTAGTGAGGGAACCGGGCTTGCAATCTCTGAGGGATTGCAGAATTCAGCTCTGGAAATGATCGCCGCGGTCTTGCTACAGCCAGGGCCAGAGGGGTGAGGGGGTGAGGCTCAGCAAGGCATCACCATCCCACGATGAGAGGGTGTCTGGATTGAAAAATCAGCGGTTAAACACCACAAGAGATTTCACTATCTTGCCCCTGCCCCCGACCTTCCACGCACAACATGGGGAATGAAATATTTCATCTTGGACCCTCCCCGTCATCATAGTAGTAGTAGTAGTAGTAGTAGTAGCAGCAGTAGTAGTAGTAGTAGTAGTAGTAGTAGTAGTAGTAGTAGTAGAAGTAGTAGTAGTAGTAGTAGTAGTAGTAGTAGCAGCAGCAGCAGTGGTAGTGGTAAAAGTTGCAAAAATGGTAGTAGTGGTAGTGGTAGTAGTAATAGTAGCAGTAGCAGTAGCAGTAGCAGAAGCAGTAGGAGTAGGAGTAGGAGTAGTAGTAGTAGCAGTAGTAGTAGTAGTAGTAGTCGTAGTCGTAGTCGTCGTCGTCGTCGTCGTCGTCGTCGTCGTCGTCGTCGTCGTCGTCGTCGTAGTAGTAGTAGTAGTAGTAGTAGTAGTAGTAGTAGTAGTAGTAGTAGTAGTAGTAGTACTAGTAGTACTAGTAGTACTAGTAGTAGCGTAGTAGTAGTCGTAGTAGTAGTAGTAGTAGTAGTAGTAGTAGTAGTAGTAGTAGTAGTAGTAGTAGTAGTAGTAGTAGTAGTAGGAGTCGTAGTAGTAGTAGTAGTAGTAGTAGTAGTAGTAGTAGTAGTAGTAGTAGTAGTAGTAGTAGTAGTAGTAGTAGTAGTAGTAGTAGTAGTAGTAGTAGTAGTAGTAGTTAGTAGTAGTAGTAGTAGTAGTTAGTAGTAGTAGTAGTAAGTAGTAGTAGTAGTAGTAGTAGTAGTAGTAGTAGTAGTAGTAGTAGTAGTAGTAGTAGTAGTAGTAGTAGTAGTAGTAGTAGAGTAGTAGTAGTAGTAGTAGTAGTAGTAGTAGTAGTAGTAGTAGTAGTAGTAGTAGTAGTAGTAGTAGTAGTAGTAGTAGTAGTAGTAGTAGTAGCAGTAGCCGCACGGTTCACAGCAGTTGGGAAGTCAACCAGCCTCCAGGCCGAACGCACTAGAGCTCAGCAACAGGCCCTGCCTTCGCAGAAGCTTAAGGATTCTGCCTTTGCCTGAGCCATTTTGCCATTGGAGCTACGAGTCGATTCTTCTGCTGTGAACCGCCGGGTCCCAATTCCCGGGCCTCACGCACACCGACAACAACGAGTTTGCAGAGGTAAGCGGTAGGGTTTCCACTGCTCCGCGAGGTGGAAGGAGTACCCTCTTTAGTGACTTCATCATCTATGTTTCTGGAGGGGAAAAGCAAGCGGATGGCGAGCCGAACGCGCCTCAGTACATTTCTCCTGCCTACACTTTTCCATTTACAAAAGGTTCTGCAGCACACAGACATCCTTGGAGCAGCGCAACATTGGTCGACTTCAGAGCCTGGTTGCTATGCAAGAAGTATCAGTGCTGGAGGCCTGTTTTTGTGCTTCGAGCAACTTCCCTGGGATGATGCACTCAGAGATCAATGCAATCCCTTTCTGTGCAGTTTATGCGAAGTGGCAGCTTCTTCTCCGAGACACTCACGCTCAAAAGCCGCTGCGCAGACAAGTACGTGACTGGCCACGACACGCCCCCTCTCCCCCCCTCCCCCCCTCCCCCCCCCCCAGTTCGAGCTACAGCCCAGTCACGTATTGCTTTGGATACTGTTGAAAGGGATTGCAGCGCAGCTGACATGCTGCTTGCTCCGGGGAAAACGTCAAACGTTGGTGAGGATGAGAAGTCTCCGATAAGGTTGTACGGACTTGCAACACAGCTGCCAAACACAAAGCTATCCAACGGCCTTCAGCACGACGTAATCCTCCCAACGCTGGCCCCGCTGAGCACCCTGATGTCTTTCGATGCACATGGGGTGCCCTTGTGGCCCCAGACGGGGCGCCGGGCCGGTCTTGTCTACAGGACAAGGTGCAGGTTGGGACACTGCAACCACAGTTCTGAAGTACGACCAGCTACATGCGCAGGGCAGCTTGAGGGCGATGCTGGCCTCAACATGTCACCAACGCCTCGTCTTGCAGCGGGGTGCGAGAGCCGGGACTCGCTCTTGTGGCGAGGAGCAGGTTCGTCCGACCTCTAGCAGTTTCTGCACTATGGTACGGCTCCACGACACGGCTGGGCACAGACTTTCTGATGAGCGATACGCCGCTGCCGCAACACAGTTGCGAGCATCCAAGGACACAGTCCTTCACGGCCTTTACTGGCTGAACATCTTACGGCCCTCCACTGGTTAGTGTGGGACGCCACGATGACTAACATTTAGGGACGGAGACTGAGCTGGGCCTTAGGCAGTTTCAGTTATCATTTGAAGCCGATTTGCGAGCCTGATGTTTCTGCAGCTTTGTACAGCCAGCTCAAGCAGGCCTCATTTTAAACTCTATTCCTTGTAGGCATGTCCTTCTCCTGCTCTGAGGCATCGGCAAGTCTGATTCCAAGGATGCGCTTGCCTTGTGTTCTTTTCTTGTTATCGTACGTTCGTGGCAGAGGTAGCAGCCTGGGCCTAGGAGCTTTAGGTTCGTCCATTGCTCTTCAAAGGGATGAGGTAGGTAGCTGCGATTATCGCAGTGCAGTCCCCCCGGGCCCGCTCCAACGCCTAAGAACGTGTTGGTCTTGTTGCTTGCGTTGGTAGTTTTCGGTTTGGTCTTGTTTGGCTTGTTAGTCCTTGGCTAGGCGGGTCCAAAGGACGGAGCTGGCAACGGCACGTTTCAATGGGCTTTTAGCTAATGGTCAAGGCACGTCCGAAGGGCGGGGCTGGCCACGGCGCGGCACGTCTCACGGGCGGGGCAAGCCAAGGGCATGGCGCCTCCCGAAGTTTCAGAATCGCCGCTATGAGCAGAGCCCGCTCGCTCAGCGTTCAATAAATAGTAGTAGGAGTAGTAGTAGTAGTAGTAGTAGTAGTAGTAGTAGTAGTAGTAGTAGTAGAATAGTAGTAGCAGTAGTAGTAGTAGTAGTAGTAGTAGTAGTAGAAGTAGTAGTAATAGTAGTAGTAGTAGTAGTAGTAGTAGTAGTAGTAGTAGTAGTAGTAGTAGTAGTAGTAGTAGTAATAGCAGTAGTAGTAGTAGTAGTAGTAGTAGTAGTAGTAGTAGTAGTAGTAGTAGTAGAATAGTAGTAGAATAGTAGTAGTATAGTAGTAGTAGTAGTAGTAGTAGTAGTAGTAGTAGTAGTAGTAGTAGTAGTAGTAGTAGTAGTAGCAGTAGTAGTAGTAGTAGTAGTAGTAGAATAGTAGTAGTAGTAGTAGTAGTAGTAGTAGTAGTAGTAGTAGTAGTAGTAGTAGTAGTAGTAGTAGTAGTAGGAGTAGTAGTAGTAGTAGTAGTAGTAACAGTAGTAGTAGTAGTAGTAGTAGTAGTAGTAGTAGTAGTAGTAGTAGTAGTAGTGGTGGTGGCGGTGGCGGTGGTGGAAGCGGCTGTGCTTGTGTGATAGAGACATGTCCCCTCGCTTCGTGCGTTGTGTAGGTTGCATTCTGCAGCAAGCATCATTGTAACATGTGATGCAGTGACGTAGCACTTGCATGTCGTTTGCTCTTGCCTTTGTACAGCTTCATGTCAACCCGACTGCAGCTGTGGACTCGAACGTAGGTCGTAGCTCAAAGCAGTTTGTGTAGCTGAGTTATTAGCCGAAGGCAACGAACCCGCCATAGCGCTTGTTAACGTACTGCAGCTGCGCAGCAAGATTTGCGAGCTCTTTCGCCGAGTGGTCCTGCGATATCCCAAGCCGAAAAACAAAAGGTGGCACTGGGGGCCAGGCAATTCTTGAGGAGCCAGGGCAACAAGCGCTCTGGCAGTCTTCTGCAGGAGTTGAAGCGCCGTGGTGTCACTGTTACCACGTCGGAAGCAGCTGAGCTTTATCACCGAGTCGAGCCACTCGTGCTTGGTTCGGCTCATGCGCAAGCTGCGCAAGTGGCGTCTGCCTACGGAGGAGCGTCTCCTCCTGCGCCACCCCCAGCAGCTGGCCCCGCAGTGGCCCAGGCCGTTTTTGCTGAGAGCCGCGGAAGTCGATCGGAATTGACTTGCGAAACCGTCAAAATTTTGAAGATTCCCAAGACCGGAGCCTCGCTCTTGGAGTTAAGCAATGGACCCAGACGCGGAGACGCTAGACGAGTAGGAGGTCCGGCTCAGCCAGGGAGTCGAGGCGTCGTGAGCTGATTCCGTGATGAGGCCCTTATAATTTCGCCGAAGGTATGTTGGGAGAGGCCCAGTTCAAGACTGCCTACGCGCGCTTCCAACAGTTCGCTACCGACGCGAAGTCCCGAGCAAATGGACCAGACATTGCGCTTCGAGGCGCCGGTATCTCAGGGCTGAGTGTATGATCGGGCGGTGGCCGCGCTAGACGCGAGTTTTCATGAGTCGGACGAGGCTAAGGCAATGAAAGCCCGAGCCAAGTATGATTCGTTGGATAAGAAG